CTTTCGGCATATCCAACGAAATACCCACTTATGGTCCTTGGGTCCAACTTCTTTTCTTGTGAATTGTAGACTCTTACTTCGGACGGACATCCCCAAACGCGTACATGTCAAAAAAATTGGTTTCCAACCTTTGAATAACTCAAAAGGAGTCTTTGGGACAGCCTTGGTCGGAACTCGGTTTAATATGTACACAGCCATCTTGAGAGCTTCAGTCCACAAGGATTTAGGAAGTTTGGAGCTAGCAAGCATGCTACGCACCATGTCCAATAATGTTCGGTTTCTTTTTTCTACTACTCCATTTTGGTCCGGAGAGCCAGGCAAAGTATATTGGGCAACAATCCCATTTTCACGAAGAAACCTCGCAAATGGACCATTTGCATGGCCACTCTCAGTGTATCTACCATAGTATTCTCCATCTCGATCGGATCTCACGATCTTAATTTGTCCACATTGTTTCTCCACTTCTGCTTTAAACACCTTAAAAGCATCTAGTGCTTCATTCTTACTGTTAAGCAAGTAGAGATACATGTATCACGAGTAATCATCTATGAAAGAGATGAAGTACTTATCACGGTATGCATCCATGTCTGGACAACAAATGTCTGTGTGTATGATTTCCAATAATTCAGAACTTCTTTTAGCACCTTTCTTGGACTTGTTAGTCTGCTTACCCTTAATGCAGCTTATACAAGTCTCAAAGTCAGTAAAATCCAAAGTACCAAGTACCCCATCATTCACTAACCTTTTAATTCTATTAAGGGATATATGTCTCAATCTCCGATGCCACAGTATAGAAGACTCTTCATTCACAACACATCGTTTAGTACCAATAATTTCATGAACGTGCATAGAAGTATGATTTTCATCATTTTGTAAATTAAGGAGAAAAAGACCATCAGACAAAGTACCACATCCAATAACATCATATTTATAAGACAAATTAAATCCAAAAAATCTGAAAAGTTAAAGGAATAACCATCTGATACAAGTCTGGAAACTGAAATTAAATTCCTAGAAAAACTAGGAATACAAAACGTCTTTTCTAAACTTAAACTAAAACCACTACTTAAAACCAGTCTGCACGTGCCAATGACCTCCACATGTTAGGGCATCTTATTTCCTGAATAGACACTGTGCTCACTTCCCATCGGCTTCCGCAGGTCTCGTAAATCCTGTAATGAATTGGTGACATGGATTGTAGAACCAGAATCAATCCACCATGTGTTATGATTAACATCAATCATATTGGATTCATAACAAACAAAAGAAAGTTGAGTACCTTTCTTATCAAGCCACTTCATGAACTTGGAGCATTGTTTCTTAACGTGCCCCTTCTTTTTGCAAAAGAAGCACACAATCTCTTTCTTAATGTCCTTTTGAGGAGGGATTTTCCCCTTCCCCTTGTCCTTGGCTTGATCTTTCTTCTTGTACTTCCCAGAGGTAGTAAAGTTCACAATTTCCTTTTCCTTTTCCTCCATAAGAAGCCTACCCTCTTCCTGAACACACATGGTCAACAATTCATTGATCGACCATTTGTCCTTATGTGTGTTGTAGGATATCTTAAATGTGCCATATTGCTGAGGTAAGGTGCAAAGGATGTAGTGAACCAGGAAGGCTTCAGACATCTCAACCTCCAAATTGCTGAGGTAAGGTGCAAAGGATGTAGTGAACCAGGAAGGCTTCAGACATCTCAACCTCCAATACTTTCAACTGAGCCGCAAATGTAGTGAACCAGGAAGGCTTCAGACATCTCAACCTCCAATACTTTCAACTGAGCCGCAATATCCCTCACACTAGTGAGCCTCAAGGATGAAAATTGTATGATTAGGGTGCTCGCCATTGCTTTGTCTGAAGTGGCGAACTGCTCATCGATAGCCTTTAGTAAATCTTGGACATTGTCGACCTGCTCGACTGAACCCCTTATACCAGCAGAAATTTTAGTCTTTATGAACATCACACAGAGACGATTGGATCCTTCCCATTTTTCATAAAGCTGAATTTCATCTGAAATGCTGAATTCAGTAACTGTAGGGGGTTCAATCTTCCTTATGGCATAGTCTATGTCCATCCATCCCAAATGAAGGAGATCTCTCTCGAGCTCACGGTCAACCGTGGCGGTCGACCGTGGCGGTCGACCGTGAAAGTCTTTGCTGCCCACTGACGAATGAACTCAGGCGCGGTCGACCGCAAACTGATACATTCAAAAAACTGTTTTTGACTCACTTAAAAAATCTGTAAAATGTTCATTTGACTTCCAAAAATTGTGAAACTTTGTAAAATATTTTTAACACTAAAAACAAATTGTTTGGAAAAGGAATTTTGCTAATAGGTCCTCATACTTGTGAATAATAGTATTTTTGTGAAAACGCTCAAAACTATAAGTATGAAAACGTGTGTGTGATATCCCAAATGCTTCAATTTAAATCTAAACTATTTGCCTACATTTTAGTACTAGAGAGAAAATAAAAAAACTAGCTAATATCCTCACGTAGAATACAATTCTTTGAGTCTTGATATAGCTTGAGTTGGATGAAGTTTTTTATTGCATTTAGTGTTCTTGAATGAACGTTGCTTCATCACTATGTCTCCTCCTCCTTTGGATATCATCGTTGTAGCACATATTCTATCCAATCCTCCATAAGTGGCACTAACATGCTTGATATATATATTAACTATATTTTTACTTAACAAGCAATTAGTATCGATAATGGTGATTGTAAAACATCATCAAAAAATAATGGCTAACAATCTCCCCCTTTTTGATGATGACAACCAACCATTATATAAGAGCAAAATAAATATAGCTTATAGATAGTAGCTCCTCCTATCTATGAGCTCCTCCTTACTATGTGCACAGATGAGGAGATTTTTCTCCCCCTTTGTCACCATCAAAATGGGGTAAAAAAATAAATAAAAAATGCATGTGAAAATGCAACTAAACAAGTAAGTAAATAGAACTTTCACATAGTGCATAAGCCCAAATCATTTCTTATGCGACAAAAATCATCTTCACCAAGAGGCTTGGTAAATATATTCGCTAATTGAGATTTTGTGTCAACAAACACAAGGGATACATCTTATCTCTCTATATGATCGCGTAAGAAATGATGGCGCACATCAATATGCTTAGTTCTAGAATGCAAAACCGAATTTTTTAAAATATTGATAGCACTAGTGTTATCACAAAAGATTTTTATATTTTGAAAAATCAAATCATAATCAACTAAGCTTTGTTTCATCCACAAAACTTGGGTACAACATAAGCCGACGGTAATGTATTCCGCTTCCGTAGTGGACAATACAACACAATTTTGTTTCTTGGAAGCACAAGAAACAAGAGAATTTCCTAAGAATTGGCACGTTCCACTCGTACTCTTGTGGTCTACTTTACATTCGGCAAAGTCGGCATCACAAAAACCATATAAATCAAAAGAGATACTTTTTGGATAAAATAAACCAAGAGCAATAGTTCCATGCACATATTTAATAATTCTCTTAACGGCAATCAAATGAGATGCTTTAGGAGAAGCTTGAAAACGTGCACATGCACACATACTAAACATGATATCGGGTCTACTAGCGGTGAGATAAAGAAGACTACCTATCATACCTCGGTATAGTTTTTGGTCCACATCCTCACCACTATCATCCGCATCAAGCTTGACACTTGTACTCATGGGAGTAGGCGCATGCTTAAAATTCTCCAAATTGAATTTCTTCACCAATTCTCTAGCATACTTGCTTTGAGAAATGAATATCACATCCTTAGTTTGCTTGACTTGGAGCCCGAGAAAGAAAGTAAGCTCTCCCATCATACTCATCTCAAAGTGATCCTGCATTACTTTAGAAAATTCCTTGCACAAGGATTCATTAGTAGCACCGAAAATGATGTCATCCACATATATTTGAACTAAAATGAAATCATTTTTCCTTTTTCGCACAAAAAGAGTGTTATCAATAGATCCTTTTGAAAAACCATTTTCAATAAGAAAACTAGAGAGGCGAGCATACCAAGCCCTAGGAGCTTGTTTCAACCCATATAAAGCTTTTTGTACCCGGTAAACATGATTAGGAAAAGCATGATCTATAAAACCGGGGGGTTGCTCAACATACACTTCCTCTTCTATAAAACCATTTAAGAAAGCACTTTTGACATCCATTTGAAATAGTTTGAAATTTTTAAAACTAGCAAATGCCAAAAACATCCTAATAGATTCCAACCTTGCAACCGGTGCAAAGGTTTCATCATAGTCTATGCCCTCCTCTTGATTGTATCCTTGGGCAACCAAACGAGCTTTATTTCTAGTTACAATGCCATGTTCATCAAGTTTGTTTCTAAAAACCCATTTTGTACCAATAACACTAGCATTGTTAGGTCTAGGAACTAACTTCCAAACTTCATTTCTTTGAAAATTGTTTAATTCTTCATGCATAGCCAAAACCCAAAACTCATCATTTAAAGCATCATTAACCTTTTTAGGTTCTAGTTGAGATAGAAATGCAACATTACCACATTCACTCAAGGCTTTTGAGCGAGTTATAACTCCTTTTGAAGGGCTCCCAATGATTTGTTCCTTTGGATGGTTTGATGTGAATTTCCAAGCTTTAGGTGGTTCAACTTGATCTTGAGCGTTTGTGCTATCCACATCCTTTTGAACTTCTATAGAGGGAGTGTCATTGATTTGCAACAAGTCCAATCCTCCCTCAATATCATCATCATCATCTTTCCTAGGCAACACAACTTGAGAGCCAACATTAGTCTCATCAAAAGTAACGTTTATAGACTCTTCAACAACGAGGCTTCGTTTATTGAAGACCCTATAAGCCTTACTTCGAGGTGCATAACCCAAGAAAATACCAACATCAATTTTGGAATCAAATTTATCATGGTGATCTTTTGTATTTAAAATAAAGCATTTGCAACCAAAGACACGAAAATAACCAATGAAAGGAGTTTTTCCATAATAAAGTTCATAAGGAGTTTTCTTAAAATACTTTATTTTGTAGAAAATATGTGAAACGGCATCGGCGAATCGTAGATCAAAGCTATACGATCACTTTTTAGGAGCTACTTCTTATGCTCAGATCGAGCATAAGTATTTGAGCGAAAACCCGGTATGATCATATTATTAAAACTGATTTCATGTGATTAGTTTCCTACATTTAATTTGGAATTTAATATATCACAGGACGCTTTGACTATGCCCCCGACTCTTCTGGCTAAAAGAGCTTATACACCACCCCAGGGCTATGAAAATGTAGAGGGAAATGACAAAAAGGTGGAGAAAATTAATGAATTGAACGTAAGTATAAGATTAATTTTAGATTTGTATATACTTAATGATTTTTCATCAAAGTTTCTAATTTTTATGATATATGATATGCAGGCGGCGCTGGAAGCTTCTCAAAACGATGTCTTCACCCGTGTCACGCAGTCTCGAAGTACAGAGGACACTCCTGTAGAGCCTAACCGCATGACCAGAGACGAGTGGATGGAAGTTGTCGACGGAGCTTACGGTTTACACTCAAGAAAGAAAGGAAGAGTGCCTCTGTCAAGTACTAGAGTTAAGACACTCACCACCACCAATAAGCCTAGCAGCCAATCTGTGACATCGACGCGACACGGTGACACGTCATATGTCGTGGGTAAGATTGGAAAATACTTGATGAAGAATGTTGAAATTCCATTGGCTTTAAGTTTTCTTCCCACTATTAAGCACGAGTTAAGTGGTGCACAAACGACTTGGGATGTCGTTCAGCGACTCATCAATTCTCAACTCTTAAAGGACTTGCTTCCGCAGCCTATGTACATGGATATCATGGAGATGGACATTTGATGAGCATGCAGCTGCAAGTGGTAGAGAGGTATATATATTATATTATATATGTATTTATTATGAATATTTTAGAATATATTTCCATATTGATTTATATCTTTTTAGGCTAGAGGAGGTGCTGTAGGAAGCAGCAGTACGGTACGATATTTTAATACAATCGTCACCGATGATAGGGATCACGATAATAGAAACCAAGACGACTAAGACGAATGAGTAGTGAGTTAGACTTTTTTGTTACTTTTGTGGACTTTTAGATTGTATGGAACATATTATGACCTCCGGTATATATATATATATATATATGAATCGATGAATGATGAATGTGATTATTATTGGATGTGAATATTGTTAGATCTGAATCGATGAATATGAATATTGTTGAATATATTGTGAATATTGATAGCAACAGGTATATATTCCCGATTGGGGGCTCAAAAGCATATATATATATATATATATATGAATCGATGAATGATGAATGTGATTATTATTGGATGTGAATATTGTTAGATCTGAATCGATGAATATGAATATTGTTGAATATATTGTGAATATTGATAGCAACAGGTATATATTCCCGATTGGGGGCTCAAAAGCAGCAATTTTTTTCGAATTACATTCATTAGAGACGGAACGGTTTGTCGCTAATAAATATTGGCAACAGGGAATTTCGTTGCCAATGTACATACATTGGTGACGGCGACATTCGTCACCAATGCTTATTGGTGACGGGAAGCCCTCCATCGCCAATAAGCTTTGGCAACGGATAGATTATCATCGGCAAAGCTTATTAGCGATGGGAAACCCCCCGTCGCCAATAAGCTCTGGCGACGGATAGATTGACGTCGCCAAAATGCATTGGCGACAGCATAGGACCCATCACCAATGCTTTCCATCACCAATGCCTCTCCGTCGCCAATAAACATTAGCGACGGATGCCCCCGTCTCCAATGTACATTAGCGAGGGGATTATTAGCGATGGACTATTAGGCATCACGAATGTCCATTCGTGATGGATTTGACTGCATTGGCGACGAATTTTCCCGTTGCCAATGCTTTATTTTCTACTAGTGTTAGTGATAGATGGATCTAGTTAGTGATAATGTGCGTCACTTTGGAATTATTTTTAGTGTTGATAAATGGTGTCCCTGAAGGTCAGATCACTCCTTCTAGAGGACTCCGATGAGGAGACCATGTATCTTCATACTTATTCTTATTGTACACAGAGGAATTCCCAGCAATCATTAGGCAGATAGCTGAAAGTGGTGCAATTCATGGTATTTGGATTATTAGATAGGTCCGATGATCTCCATTTTTTTTTTGAATGATAGTCCTCTATTTGCTAGAGCCTCTCTTGCATTGGGTTAAAAAATTAATGTTGATAAATCAGTGCCTCACTTCAACAAGAATGTATTAGAAAAACCCAAAAGGAGTATTCGAGTGAAGCTTGAAGTACATGAGTTGGTTCAGTTTGATAAATATCTTAGTTTTCTCTTGATGCCAGATCAGTCAACAAAGGAAATATTAACATCTATTCTTGAAATGATGCGATCAAAGTTGTCGTGGTGGAAAGAGAAATATTTGTTGAAGGCAGGTAAAGAGATTTTAATCAAGAGTATAGCACAAGCCATTCCTACATATACTATGAGTGTTTTTCTCCTTCAGAATTCTTTTTGTTGTGATAAAGAGATCCAAGGATTTTTGTGGGGTTTGAAAAATAATGAGAGGGAATTACATTGGTTATCTTGGGACTCTCTTTGTTCGGCTAAAGATCATGGTGATATGGGTTTCATGATTTGAGAGCTTTCAATCGAGCTTTATTAGCTAAGGAGTGATACGAGTTGTCGTGCGAGCACCCTTTGGTCGCGAAATTACCAAAAGGTGGGTTGAGAAAAGGACGACCAAAACACAAGAACAATTCAGTTTGGCGAAGGAAAATACCTTCTCTAGATTATGAAGAACAAAAGATTACAATCTCTCCCTCACAATCTCACTCTAGAATTGAAGAACAAGCTCTCCAAATCTCAATCTAGAATCTAATTTCTCTTGATTAAACTCTCTGACCTAAAAGATGTTTAGAAACCCTAAAACAATCCCTTATATAGGTGTACAAACGTGGATGGCAATTTGGTAAATAACCAGACCCAAAACCAACAGGAAAACGCGTGAACAGAATCCCAAACGAATCAGGAAACCATCGATGAGTCGACTCATGACTGAGATGAGTCGACTCGACAGAAACTGGAGAAATCTTAATAACCAGCGATGAGTCGACTCATGACAGTCATGAGTCGACTCAACCTGATGAGTCGACTCATAACAGTCATGAGTCGACTCACAGGCTGAAAACTGGGTACTTCGATTCTTCTGCTCGTCGTCTTGTTCCACGCTTCCTCCTGTGTCCCCTTATACTGTTTGACACCCCCTATTCTCATGCTAGTATGAGAATCATCTATCTTCAAGCTCCCATGAGGATCGCTAAGTTCCGAAGAGAAGATACACCCGTATCATGTGTCCCCTCTTTAAGAACTTGAAGTCCCGTTCAAGTTAGAACTTCAGCTGAGGAAACTCTTGAGCTCCTCCATCTTTTCTGTACCATCTAGCCTTGCTAGGAATCCGGTCTCGACGTCCGATCGGAAACAACTCATTCGTCCCGCGTCTCGTCATAGTCACCGCTCGCTCTAAGTTGCAATCCTTTGTCGATGGCTTTTCTGGAAGTCTAATGCACAGCGAGACAAACTTCTTGCTTGTATTCACTAGTCTCTTCGCTCGCGTCACCGTCCCCAAGCTTGTCTCCTTCGGAAGAGATGCCGAACGAAATATGACCTTTTCACCATCCTTAGTGAAGGTGTACTTCTGGGCCCGCCTCTCGTAGATCGCATATCTATCCCATAAGTACGGATTACCCAGTATAATCTGACAAACATCCAATGGAACGACATCGCATGTGACCTCGTCAATATACGATTCATGGAGCGCAAATCTGACAGTGCATTGATCAACTACACTCAGTTTCTCCTCCTTCTGAATCCACCCCAATGGATAGGGTTTCGGATGCTTGACCGTCTTCAGACCTAGCTTCTGCACCAATACCTCGGATATAAAATTCTTCTCGCTACCCGAATCAATAATGGCATCAACCAAACTGGTCTTCACTTGCAACTTAAGAACAAAGAGTTGCTCTCTCGGGTCGTCGTCCTCTTTCATGGTCTGTTTTCTCGTCATAAGATTGAGACTGCTGTTGGGCTCTGTCATCCCCGGGACTTCCTTCGGACCTTGAGCTATCATGTATGCCTTTTTCTCCTCCTTCCTCTTCAACCCTCTTGGTTTCAGATGAGGATACTTCTCCCAGCACCGATCAGCTTCGTACCCTGTCTTCTCGCAGTGACTACAAATCAGCTCTGCTTTCCCTGGATCACCCTTTTTCTTCTCCTCCTTAGATTAAGAACCACTAGACTCGCCTCCCGTCTGTTTGGAACCTCCCTTAGCCTCGTTGCCCTTCTTTTGTCTACCCTCAATGGCAATTGCCTTCACGCTCGCCTCTGCAATTGATTCCACCGTGAATAGCCTCATCTCCTTTCGGATGTGATCGCTCAATCCCGCCATATACTTCATAAATACGGAATATTCCTCCCGCCATATACTTCATAAACACAGAATATTCTTCTGTCGCAATGTTGAGGACCATCGCCTGCTGCTGGAACTCTGTGGTGTATTCTTGAACGGTTTAATTGACCCTTTGGCGCAAGTCGTACCACTTATACCAACGCTCTTTAAGGAATCCCACCGGGTAGAACTGCTTCCTCAGTAACTCCTTAAACTTGTTCCACGATACCGCTTTCTTCTCCTACTTGCAGTAGGATTTCCACCACGTCAATGCGTGCCCTGAAAGCTTCAAAGTCGCGAACACAATCTTCTCTTTCGACGAATAGCCATAAAGAGTAAAATACGTCTCCATCCGCTCGATCCAGTCATCAAGCCTCTCGACGTCAACACTCCCATCATAAACAGGAATCTCCACCTTAAAGTCAATCTTCAGGTTTTGATAAGAATTCTTACCACCTTGATGCAATACAGTCTTAATGGTCTCCTCCTCCTCGTCGGAATCTGAATCTACTCTTTCCACATCGGACTCAATAATTTTCTTCGAAGAAGATTCACCTTGTTTGCCACCTCCATGGATAAGACTGACGAGTTGTGTGAGAGTCGAACCTATCGTCTCGATCTGCTTCTCCAATGCATCAATCCTCGCTGAATTGTCTCCTTCAGTCATCTTCTCCTTCCTTAAATCTTGGACTCCTTCCAATGAAATAAGGATCTCGCCAAGCTTCTTGTATTGGGATCGAGTAAGGACCATACACAGGATGCCCCTTTCATCAGATCTGAGGCTCTGATACCAACTTGATACGAGTTGCCGTGCGAGCACCCTTTGGTCGCGAAATTACCAAAAGGTGGGTTGAGAAAATGACGACCAAAACACAAGAACAATTCAGTTTGGCGAAGGAAAATACCTTCTCTAGATTATGAAGAACAAAAAATTACAATCTCTCCCTCACAATCTCACTCTAGAATTGAAGAACAAGCTCTCCAAATCTCAATCTAGAATCTAATCTCTCTTGATTAAACTCTCTGACCTAAAAGATGTTTAGAAACCCTAAAACAATCCCTTATATAGGTGTACAAACGTGGATGACAATTTGGTAAATAACCAGACCCAAAACCAACAGGAAAACGCGTGAACAGAATCCCAAACGAATCAGGAAACCATCGATGAGTCGACTCATGACTGAGATGAGTCGACTCGACAGAAACTGGAGAAATCTTAATAACCAGCGATGAGTCGACTCATGACAGTCATGAGTCGACTCAACCTGATGAGTCGACTCATAACAGTCATGAGTCGACTCACAGGCTGAAAACTGGGTACTTCGATTCTTCTGCTCGTCGTCTTGTTCCACGCTTCCTCCTGTGTCCCCTTATACTGTTTGACACCCCCTATTCTTATGCTAGTATGAGAATCATCTATCCTCAAGCTCCCATGAGGATCGCTAAGTTCCGAAGAGAAGATACACCCGTATCAAGGAGGGTTGGTGACTTCTTTAAAATAAGGATTCTTTGTTCTATATAGTTTTTTGTGCAAACTTTTGTAACTCTTCATTCATGGATGCTACTTTGGGTAATCAATCTTTTAATGTTTGGCAGAGTATTTTGACGAGGAAGGAGGTCCTAGACTCGAGTTGGTTGTGGAGGGTAGGCAATGATAGGATGATTAAGATTTGGCATGACAAATGGATTCGTTCTCTTCTTCCTTTTTGAGTCTCTTCTTTAGAGGTTTGTAGAGTGTGACGGGTACGTGGTTTTCCTCAAATGGTAGATGAGATTCTCTTTTTATTAGAACCATTTTCTTCTTCTATTGAAGCTATGACAATTTTTAGCATTCCTCTTGCACCACATTTGAATCAAGATAAAATTATTTATAATAGAGAGAAGAATGGGTCTTTTATGGTGAGAAGTGCATGGTACTTAGTTTGCAAGATTCTTTATAATAGAGAGGATAACTAGCTGGGGGAGTTAGTAAAAAATTTTGGAGGAGTCTTTGGGGGTGTAAGATACCCAAAAAAGGTGTGTGCTTTTGGGTGGAGAGTTTGTAGAGTAACTCTTGCAACGAGAGACTCTTTGCAACTTCACCATATTGGATCGATCCAAGTTGTCCTCTATGCATTTTCGAGCTAGAAGAGGAGAATCATTTATTCTATCTTCGCCTTGTGGCGTTTTAGGTATGGCAACGTTGTTTCATGGAAATGCCACTAATTCGGTGAGACCATGGTGGATTATAGTGTTGCAACATTATGGTCAGGAGGGTCTTCACAATGTTTTGGTTGTGGCATGGTTTTTCTGGTTAAATCATACTTGCAGGATGCCAACATAATTGTGTCTATAATTTTGGATTACCTTATTGAGTTTCGTCATGTACACAAGACACAAGTTAGCTCAAATTTAGTTGCTTATGCATGAAATCTATCTAGAAGTGGGCGAGTGAAAGTTAATTGTGATGCTACATGTAATCCTCACCTCGAGATGGCTGCCATTGGTGTGGTGATTCGAGATAGTAATGGAGTTGTATTAAAAGTGATTTCAACTATTTGACCTAATTATTTGTGAGTTGAAGGCTATTGAAAGAGGCCTCCGGTTTGCTTGTGATGAAGGTTTTAGGTCGATTGAAGTTGAATCAGATAGTCCATTAGCTATTATAGCCTTGCAGATGAATAATTATGCTTTAGCTCATTTCAGATATATTGTAGACAATATTAATTTGCAGCTCAAGGTTTTCTTCTGTGTAGCTTCGCTTATATGAGGAGAGAAGCCAACGTTGTGGCTCATTGTCTTGCACAGTTAAGGTATAGATCTAGGCAAAACCAAGTATGGAGTGATTGCATATTTATTCCTCTCAAATATTTTATATTTACAAATTTACTTTCTAAATCTTGGTATTTGCAAATCGCACCTCCAAAACTGGTCTTTCTACCCCTCAAATGATAATGTTGGTTTCTAAACAGGTCAATGACAATGTTTCCTATAATATCCAATAGATTTGCAATATTTTCTAATCTAAAAATTATGATTACTAAGTGGAAGGGGAAAAAAATCAATGTGTTAAAATTTGGGGGTAAGTTTACAGATAACAAGATTTGGAGGTAAATTTGTAAATATGGAAGATTTGTGGATGATTCTTATCGGGTTTCGGATCAGTACCGTTTGCAACCTAAGATGGTTCTAGAACCGGTCTTCTCCGTTCTAGCCTTTTTGCCCGGTTCGTTTCCTGGGCGAGCACTTTCTTCCTCCACAAGCAGAACTAAAACCCTAAACCCCAATCGTCCAATTATTTATTTCCCAGTTTCCTCAAATTTAATCGCAATAAAATCAAAATAATGGCCTTTAGGGTTCTCTCTCGCATCGCAAAGAGCAGCCTCACTCAGCGCTTGATCCTTGAGTCCAAACGCCACGAACCTATTTCGGTTTCTTCAACCAAGGTGAGATTTTTTTTTCCGATGATTTTGTGTTTATTTTCAATTTCTTCATCTGGTTATTGGTAAAAAGTTTCCCTTTAAGTTTAATTTACTGGTTTCTGGAATAGCTGAGCTACGGATTTTGTGTCAGGATATGGATGCTGGTTTATTTGGGAATTCTATCGATTTTTCCTCTCTGTGTTGATAAAAACTGAATTTTTATGTTACTCGGAATTAGTTTCAGTTGGTGTATAGTTTTCGGAATTGGTACGATTTTTAGAACAAAATTGATTTTGTTTGATTTTTATCTTGATAAGTCTAAATAAAATTAGGAAAGATGCCAATTTTCTCATTTGAAACCTGTCTCGTTCCTTGTTAGCTTATAAAAAATGAAGCTTCATAATATTGCAGTAGCAAAAGGTAGTTTTCCTTTTACGGTGCAGAACTTATTGTAGATTGTTATCACTGTCCCATTTATATCTAGTTGCATCAAATCATGGTTTTGGATCTTGAGATATCACCATGGGAATTATTGTAAAAAATGTCATGGTGGATATTATGAAAAGTTTCAAGTCTTGTAATGTAAAGATCATTTCCCATCTTGTATTGGGGGAAAAGATAAAGGAAAAAAGGGAAAAATCTGAACATCTCTCTTGTTTTGCGGAAATAAAATGTTTATATTTTCATAGCACCAACTAAAATTTGAGGTGATGTACATTTTGAGCTCAGAAATAAAATAACTGAGTTTTTGGGCTGTAGGGAGTGAGCTCTTGTTGCTTCCTTTCCTATTTCTTTTAATTAAAACGTGAAAATGAAATATTATAGTAAAAGGTTAATATTTTTCTAGTAATATCTAAATTTTGGAAATTGTTTAAATTGCTCATTGATAAAATAATCAACGAGAGCAATGTGATATGCAGTTGTGGGGAATACTTGAAAGGAAAATTGTTAGAATTCAATGCCTTGATTTTTTTGGTATCAAATCTTGATGGTTATGCGATTATGCGTACCACTAAAATTTTAGTGTCACATTTCTCCCATTAAGTTAAAGGGCTAAATTGTTCATTGTTATCATAGCAATGAATGAAACTGATGTGTTAGACTTGTTTATTGCTAATGGCGGAATTCTGAAATTGTATAGTGAATACTGAACTTGATATGGACTAAAGAAACTGATTTCATTTACTGCGAAGGGAGTTTAATGGTGGAAAGAAGTGCACACTGAAGGAAACCAGCCTATTTTCCTTGCTCACCTTCTAGTTAGAAGGAGAAAAATCTTGAGATTATTCCAATTATCTCAATGAGTAAAGTACTTCTCATAGGACATGGCTACTTTTTGGAAGCAAAATTGATGATTATGCTTAACTAAAATACTAAAATTCGAATTATACTAATGATAGAAAAAGGGGTTTCTGAACATAAATTGCATTGGAGCACTATATATAGTAGCATATGTCAGTGTTATCAATGTGCGAGGCGCAAAACATATTTACGCGCACATGCGCAAGGATCAACGCGATGCGCGCGCCCGAGTGATGCGAGGCGCACACCGCCCACATAATTTTTCAAAATATATAATCAAGCGCGAAAGAACATGTTTTTAGAATTCACATAAAAAATGTCATGATAAATAATATCTTACTACAAAATGACAATATAATGCCTTAATTTTTAATGCTAACACCCAACATAGTAGCAAAATTCATAAATTTTCAAGTCAAATGTTAAATCAAGATTAATATCCAAGCAAAGGATTAGTAATGGTCCTCAATTGAAGGCTACTAAAAAGGTCTAATGGATTTATTTTGCTTTTTGGGATATGGAATATCAAGTATAAAGACTCGATTGAAATGTTAATAAACAAAATTATATGAGGATATGTTTTACATGCACCCTGCACAAAGTAAGGATGTACGCGAGGCGCAAAAGGCGCTGCTGCATCAGAAGTGGGGCGTTTCGCCACCGCCCCGCATCGTAAGGCGCGGTGCAGTGGGGCACGCGCCTTTGAAAACACAGGCATATATCAATGATTCCAATTACTGTTGCTGTTTCATGAAGCAAAAGTGATGAGATGACTGGAATCTCATTGTTAGAATAGACTGTTGTACTAGAAAAGCTACTAATAGGAATAACAGTATGTTAAAATGGCCGTCATCTAGGATCACCTGTTAATTTTGTACGTACTTGACAAAATCTAATATCCAAGGGAAAAATTGTTTCCTTAATTATTAAATCCTTAAGGCATTTCTTATCTGATAACTGCTTGTGAATCTGTTTGACCACTACCTGGTTTGATAATTTTGCTATGAGCACAAAAAGGCAAAGACCAGTGGTTTGTAATTGATTGCAAGAGCATATTACATGACTACCGCCTTACATGCAACTGACGTATTGTACTAGTTATTAGTATCGAGGGCATTCTGAACAGGAATGTTTACTATATAAACTGACATATAGTTGCTCACGGGAAGTATCCAATGGTCTTGCCTAAGCCAGCAGAACTAGATTACAAAGTGATGCCTACTCTAAAGTCTGGATTTAGCTCTTTATGAGCTTAAAGGTTATAGAGGCATGGTATAGCGGCTAAATGACATTTAAATACCCTATTACCTTAATACTTAAATACTCTTAAGTTGTAAAAAGTAGCACTTAAATACCCTTGGGTAGCTGTTAGAATGTTGTAAACGGTGTTTAAAAAAGCCGGTTAGGATGAAAATACCCCTCTAACCCCTTCAATAGTTAAACAATGCTAAATATAGGAAACCCCCTTTTAACTTTGGACAATTATCAGATAACCCCACATAACTTTAAAGTATTAGAAATCCCCTTAAGTTTAGGGTTATAAAAAAACCCTTTTAACTTTGAGATCTTATCAGGAAACCCCTCTAAAAGCGATGGTTTTAAGGGGGTTTCTTATAAAAGCTTAAAGTTAAAGGGAGTTTTCATGATAAAATAAAGGTTTTTTTTTTTTGGGGGGGGGGGGGGTTTT